TGTGTGTGTGTGTGTGTGTGTGTGCACGCGAAACCCGGCCCCGACCTCATAAAATCGGGTTTGCAGCAATTTGGTGATTTAACGATCCGTGAAACGCGACCGTACGGTCCTCCGCGTGAAAATTAGCCTTGAAGGGATCGCGGTCACTTCGCAAGTAAATAATCGTAAAATGGGAGAGCCACGAGAGACGTGAGTGTTGATTTGATATAGAAGGCTGCGAGAATTCTGATGGGATAATTCGTGGAGCGATTCCAATTATGCGGCTTTAATTGCATGGATTCATTCGATGGCGCGCTACGCCGCGCTCGCGATCCAATAATTATGTTACACGCGTCGAGAAATAGTAGGAGATAAATTTGATCGATGATGGGATACGACTGGATTCCCCCTGATTTATGTGCAGCGTTAATAATAGGAAAAGCAGAATGTATTAATGCATTAATACATCTTGCAAATTCACAAAACAGTAGCCTATGAAACATTTAAATAAACAATGATTTAGGAAATAAATAGTGAAATAATCAATAATAAATAAATAATAATGAATAGTAATGAATAATTAATGAATAATTAATAATAATATAAAATCACGAAATTAGACAAATTTAAATTTAATGAATGACCCGTTCAAAATATTAATTGACAATGACAATGAAGATTATAGATTAGTTTGAACGTTTTGTATTTGAATTAAATAAATGTAGCATATAAATTAACGTTTGAGCAGAGTTTATTTATGCAAGGCATAACGATATTTGATTACATTGTAACCAAACTAATGAAATATGTCCTAATTTTATAAATTTAATCATTTTACTCTCATTTGCGAAATTCTTTGTCTCTCGCAATATCGCGCACTTATACTCCTGATATTGCAATTTCCCGGTCAAAGACGATCGTTGACCTAGAGAGTAACACACACAGGCGAAGACTACAAGAGATTTCGAAATTACGGAATTGCGAGCTCATCATGAGTTACATAACGGTAAATTATCATAATTCCGCAATATATCTAATAACAGCGGAAGTATTGTTATAAAAAGATGTTACGTGTCGAAAAAGTAGCAGCCTAGTGTCCAAGTGGAAATTACATCAAATCGGTAAAATTATAGTCGTAAGGTTGTCTATAAAATGTACAAAATTTCATATTACAGCATCGACAATAAAATTACGTTTAATTACAGCATGAATGCATTTAAATAAGACTACTTTGATCGCATCCTGTTATTAAATGAATTGATTTTCTTCAATACATTTACAAGTAAAGGTGATAAAAAGTTGAACTGATTATAAGGAGATATTTGAGATAACTAAGTCATGAAAATAATCGCGTGTAGAATCGATGCAAATCGAGTGAACGGAGAAAGAGAGAGGCGCATCCCGATCGCATCGCTGATAATAGCTTTAGTGAGTCAGTTATGATCCCAAAATAAAGCGAAAAAAAAGAATGCAATTTCTTCTAGATTAGATAGAGTAGAGCGGGGCTTTTTCACCCATTTCTCGCGATAATTTTGTTGCGCTGTTGCGCTAAAACCTTTCACAATTTATTATTCTTTTACGTGAAGTAAAGCGTAAAGCATGTATATCCTTTCCCTGGCGATGTGTCGTTTTGGAAACAGAGTTCTGAGCAATAGCTTGGTATGTAATCACGTTTGTATTTTCTTGAGACTAAAGACGTTTCCCTTCTTTATTCTATAAAATGTGAGATTTTATTTCCGCGAAGGAAACACGCGTTCCTCGTGCGAGTTTCGTGAACGGGCGTGCCGCGATTACAACGAACGTGCCGAGTGCAATAATAATAATGTTTCTGAGAACTACACGTATTGAATATTTAAAGGTTGTTCTCTCAAGGAGCAATCATGATTGTATAATGTATATAGTTACGAGCACGTCAAAGAGATATTGTTTGCCGTCAGAAGTTTTCATATTACTTTAAAATTAAAATTGACAAGATAGCCCTGTCCTATATAAGATACATGTAAAAAAATTTTGTGAATTTCGTGAATCTCCTAAAATAGAATAAACAATGTTATTACATTAAGTAAAATAATACCTATTGATTCTTAATCGGCGAATTTGCAGCTGAATAATTTTTAATCGAAGTTATACTTGCATTAGAAATGATTAGCCGTCGTTGTCGTCAAAACGCAACAAGGCATTACTTAACGAAGTAATTTTGTGGATACGACAACCACAGCATTTCGTCAACCACACAGCTATAAAATTTCGCAGTCAACGAGATGTTTGATGTCAAATGTCCACTTCTCCGAGGTAGGTGCGCCCAAACATCCTCGGACGTGCGACCGACGACGAGGAACGTCTTGGTGGGAGGCAAAACTCTCTCTCTAGAGCTCAGCTGATCATTAAAGCTGCTGCTGGCACAGTCAAACTTTCACGCTCGGCGATACGCGAGCTTCGCGAGCGAAGAGTATTAGTCCGTCGTCGCTTTCAAGGTCCGCGCTTCCGAGTACAGGAACAGTCGATTCCAATTCCGCTCCGATTTCGGAGCGGGACGCGAAAATCGTAACGTATATCGTAGTATCGAGCGTACGGGACGGAGAAGTTCCGCTGGGTTGGCTACGTGACCGAAAATCCATCGATGAATCGGAAAAAAAGTAAAGGAGGCCGATAAAAAGCCGATCAGATACATCGGATTATTGCGGTAGTGCGGTCCTTGTTAACAGAACTTGTTCGCCAATTGACGCGATATCGAAGTTTTATTCTTCTCGCGGTACTTTGCCATGAAAGTTTTTGCATCGTCGGCGACCACAGCGAACGTATAATTATTAGAACCAATAAGTTTATTAGTTTTTTTTAAGAGATTATTCGTACAATCTGACGGAGGAAGTACGTGGCGCTCGAGCGGCAAACTTTTTGCGAGACGTGAACAGATTCAATGATAAATTATTGCAAGAAGTATATTAAGTTACAATAAGAGAAACTGCAACTACGTGCAAAGTATAGGCTGTCTTATTGGATAAATCAACTGTTAATTAAGAGAGATAACGAATTAACTGCACCTCGGCCTGGATGATATCGAGATGATTTGTTCGTTTGTAAAATATTATAGAGTATGAGCACTCCGTGTTGCTAAGAAATATCTCAATGTCGAAGGTTTTGAATGAAGACAAATGATACTTGACGCGGGAGGCGGCATTGATCTTTCGATTCCTAGAATCGGATTATCGCGACCGACGATCGTGAATACGAGTCATACGTTATTAGTGAAAGTCGTTCGCGTTCGTATAGTTTGAGGATCAAGACTAACGGCGCCACGATATTCCCGCCAAGAATCGCGTGAAGGGGTAAAGAAGGTCAGGAAGGAAAGGAAGGATCAAGAGATCTTCACCTGGCTGGAGAAAGGAAAGGATAATTGAGCAAAATGACGGGCGGTCTCTTGTCGACATTCAAATTTCGACACACGACGTCGTGAGAAATCGACAAAACGACGTTTAAGAAGTCGAGAGACCACAGAGCGAAAAGTCGTGTGTCATTGTTCTCTTTGTCAGCTCTTCTCGAGCGAATATCGAATCGAAGGGAGCCCAAGCACTTTGAACGAGATCCTTAGAGAGAAAGGAACGGATCCCAGATAAAGACAGCGCGAAACCACGAACTAAGAAGCTTCTGAAGAGTTATTAGGAGCAAAAAGAGATTCAAGGGGAACCGTCGGATCGTGTACTTGGTAGAACGGTGCTCTTACGACGGGCTCTTCGCGAGAAGAGACTGCGCGAGAGATATAAAGTACTACTGCTAGGAAAACAAATGGAAATTTCGTAGAATAATACTTCACAATGCTTCCGGAGTGAAGGTATTTCACGTAACGGTTGAACTCTGTAGAAATTTAAAAAGAGAAAGAAAGGAAATATCAAACATGAAACAATTGAAGCAAAAAAAAATAGTTAGAACATGAAACTTCGAGCCTCTTTTATCCAGTGACAGCGACGAGATTTACATTGTACAATCGATATTGTTTGCTAACTTATAAAAACAGGAAGATTTAAGTCTAATAGCATTACCTCTGTGAAGTTACAATGATTTTCTCATGATATCGGCAGTTAACGACTGCTATTTGCTAGTAGTGACTAAGAAGACGTAAGTAGAAGTTTGAAGATCGTTAAATTCCATAAAGCCTTTGTACTACAAACTCTCTTTAACTTCATCATTAAAAACGCTTTCGTTAAAAGCTTTCGATATTAGAAAGATACTGAGGACTGGGTTCTGTTATGCAGACTTGCATACAGCAAATAACTTCATTTACGTAGCGGAGTATCGAGAAAGAGAGAGAGAAAGCTTTGTTAGATGATCGGTAATTTCTATTTTCTCAGCTGAAAAAGAGATCAGAGAAGATTATCTACGGTCAATCTTTCACTCGAGGATCAAAAGAAACCGTCCGTTGACAGAATCTCATCTCTCTTACAGAAGATTATTATGAACAATTTCAGCTGGAAATTGAATGAGTAAAATCAAATCTCACGAAGTGCGTATAAAAACAAAAGATCAACTTCGAAGCAATTTATTTGCTGAAAGCAAATGAAAATTGGAAGAAACGAGACGCGTAATTCATCATAGACTTACAAAAATCTCGTTTCTTCGGCAGTATATTAGAATAATAATAAGCATCTTACTTGGATGAAGTTTGACCTTCGTTACTCGTCTCGAAAAAGCACGTGCGCTTTAACTCCCGAATTTTAATTATTCCGATTTATATTCAAGCAAATCAATTTACGGGAAGGTACGGAGGATGCGAGGAATCGCAGTCGTAAGGACGCGACTAAGCAGCGACCAGACGCGACAAGAGTCTCGCAAAACGATCACGGGGTGACGGCGACGATCCATCGGTTCGCTGCCGCGAATTGGAGCGTAAGAGATCCGTACTCCCGCCGGTATCATTCCATTTACCCGACCGGAAACGCGCCGAGAAGAATACGAATTCACCGCGGATCCTACAGGCCGTTTCTCGCTTCGCCGATGCACGAAAGAAGTTCGTGACGAAAGCGGAACGCGTTCGAACGTGACGGAGATCGTTCGTGGTAGAAAAGAAAAGGAAAAAGGAAGAAAAAGAAATGATGTCAGATCGCGAAACGATTGTCCTTTTGTGTTGAAGGACCTTCTGACGACGATCTCGATATTGCGATATTCCGTCGCGGCGCGTAAGAAGAAAAGAATCGCCACGCGAGAATCATTCACCATCGTTGAACGGTTCGACAAACCGATATCCTGAGGATGACGCGTGTCGCGTATCGACTCGGTCTCCATCAGCTCCTCCTGGGGATCAGCTTGCTGATCGAGCCCCTGATGGGCTACAACGTCCTGATGGCCACTATGGGTGGTACCAAGTCCCATACGGTGCCCTTCGTCGCTCTTGGTACGAGTCTGAGGTCACGGGGGCACAACGTCACGCTGCTGAGCGCTTTCCCCGGTCCCGCGGCGAATAATGATCTTCACGAACTGGTGCCATCGATCCTCGAGGTGATTTACAATCTACCACGCACGTCGTCTCTCCCCATGCTCTGACGGATTCCCGAACTCCCCCGCAGGGTTTTTGCCGCGTTTTACGCGCGCCATTTCTTTCTTCCAATTTGGCTCTTGACTCATATTTAATTTTATTACAGACGGAATAATTTACTAGAGTCGTCGGCTTGTATCGTCTGCGTTCTTTTTCGCTCATAACGTTCTCTTTTGAAATGTCTACTTTATACTTCTGTTTTTATTTATCTATTCCATTTCTACTCGGATTTAATTTTTCAAAGTAATTTATATTTTGTAGAAGCAAATCGATATCGTTTTCTTTTCATGTCAAATTATCTTTAATCTTAGGTACATACGATTGGGTCATTTGTGTCCTGCACATTACTTTTCTTCGGAAAACAGGAGCATCAAGTAATTAATTATAACTTTTGTATACAATTCTTTTTAATACACAAAAAAAAATTTTTTTTAATGCACAACCTTACAAACATGGTTGGGAAAGTTATTTTACAAGTTACTTATAAGTTACTTTTTATTATAGAAATGGATCGAGTACAATAAATTTTATTTCTTATATTATACTTTATCATTTGCTCCAATTTTTTATTACTTTTTATACTCAGTTTCTATGACAGACATCTATAAGGTAACTTTAAAAATAACTTATAAGTATATAACTTTCCCAACCCTGCTTACAAATATCTTTTAAAGATGTTAATATGTAAGAATGACTTAACAATTTTATTATATTTGTTAAAGTGATGAAAATTAACTCGGGACACGAATGATCCATCGCATGTAATAAAGGAAAATTGTCGTACTAAAACTTAAAGATGAGGTGGTTCAGCTCCGAAGGCAAACAAGCTTTACGACGCAATATTGTAACACGGAAGTTGAAAGTTTCCGGGCTAACGCTAATCCAACAACCACGCAAGCTAACGGATTTATGTATTGTACCACGCGCACATGTTCACCGCTCGTGTCTCACGGCAGGCTTATGTCGAGAATTTCACGGCTGAGTGGGACCTAGTGGGCGCCAGGTTCCGGAATGAGCTTCCGGTATCACCGTGGGACGCTATGAGATACGCCTGGGAGTCATGCGAGGCTTTGCTCCAGGACGCGTCGTCGATAGCCAGCATGAGAAAACCGAATGGCGATTCGCACGCCCGATGGGACGTCGCGGTGCTTGACGGCGCTTATCCCGAGTGCATGTTGGGGATCCTCCATGGCGAAAATGTGCCGACGATAATGTTGAATACGGTAATGTTCCTTTCGCCGAGAAGCGCGATGAGACCTTTTGCAATATTTCGATTCCCGTTATACCTCGTCCTGGTTTTCTTGCCGCGATAACAGCCTACTTGGATTTTTGCTTGAAACCGATAAACGATATTGTATCAAATCGACTCATGTAAAAATCATGGCGGTAGAGAATTACACGATAGAGAATTGTCGCATTTTTTTGCTGAAATATTTATTAAAATATTTTTTAGCTAATATATTTCATTTGTGATATTATAAATTCTTCAAGCATGTTAATTTGCTGCAGGATTATTAGAAAAGTTCTTGACTCTGCACACCAAATTGCGCAACGTTGATAGCGCGTCATTCTCATTAACCCTCTCTTTACTTTTTATTATTGACAATTTCGAGAGTATTTTTAAATTACATTATTTTAAATTATTTTAAAAGTTCTCTTGAGTTTCCAGAAATCCTCTATCTTGTATAGTCAATAGGCTAATATTTCATTTGTCGCACGACAAATTTTTCAAGCGTGTTAATTTACTGCAGGGGGTATTATATAGAAAAGTTCTTGACTCTGCATACCAAATTGCGCAACGTTGATAGCGCGTCATTCTCATTAACCCTCTCTTTACTTTTTATTATTGACAATTTCGAGTGTTTTTAAATTAAATTATTTTAAAAGTTCTCTTGAGTTTCTAGAAATCTTCTATCTTGTCGTCAATAGGCTAATATTTCATTTGTCGTACGGTAAATTCTTTAAGCATGTTAATTAGCTGCAAGTTTATAAAAAAGTTCTCGACTCTACACACAAAATTGCGCAACGTTGATAGCGCGTCATTCTCATTAACCCTCTCTTTACTTTTTATTATTGACAATTTCGAGAGTGTTTTTAAATTAAATTTATTTTAAAAGTTCTTGAGTTTTTCCAGAAATTCTCAATTTTGTATAATCAATAGGCTAACATTTCATTTGTCATCGTCGTACGACAAATTCAAGCGTGTTAATATTTCATTTGTCGTAGAACGAATTCTTCAAGCGTGTTAATTGGCTGCAGAATAGATAAGTTCTCGAGTTTCTTAAAATCGTTTATCTTGCAGCTAATTAATACGCTTGAAAAATTTGTCGTATGACAAATGAAATATTAGCCATACGCTTGAAAAATTTCTCATACGATAAATTGAAATACAATATTAATCTTAGAATATTTTCCATCATAATACGTGAAAAGAATGGTTTTGCTGAAGTATAATAATTTAGTTAGACACAGATCTAAAAATAATTTTGTTTGGATCATCAAAATAAATGTAGGACGCTTGAACTGCTTAAAATGTTAAAACTTTTTGCAACATTGTCATAAATGTTCCACCTAATTATTTTAATGATTTGACAAAATTATTTTCAGATTTGTTTTTATAAGCTAAATTTTTAAATATCTCAGCAAAGTTATTCTTTCCGTTTATATATGTATACAATAAGCATATCATATCATATATGACGTAAAAGCGTTGCAACACACGCAATAATAGACTTCATTTTCAACGATTGCCGTTGCGGATTTCATAATACAACGCATTTTTTAATATAAATAAAGAACTGGCTTTTGCATAATTAGTTCCTGGTTGGTAGTTAAATATTTATACATTGTTCCATATTTCTTAAAAGAAATTGAATATAAATCTTTAAATATAAAATTCTAATTAAGGAAATATACATTCTTGATATTAAAGAACCGATTTTCAGATGAGAATGATGGTATATAGAACTGTCCTACTTTCTTATTCTTTTCTTCGTCTACAGAAATATAAATAACAAAAAACGCAATTGAATCCATCGTGGTTATTCCACGAGCGCGGAATGTGGAAAACATCTTTGTTAGTTGTATTCTCCGACATTTTCGCGTATAAATGAAAAGTAAACGGTGAACATCATGTTATTCATTCGTGTGTAACTAATATAACAAAGTGCGAAATAATCTCATCGTAAAACAGGTTGCACGCATCTCTCGGTATGCCAAAACAATTTTAACGCGCTAAGAAAATTGTTAGCCAGTTTGGTTAGTATCACTTTTTCTTTTTCTTTCATTTTTTTGGTGACGTCATCATGCAACATAATGATAAAACAAGTTTGCATAACGGTGAAATAGCGATAAGCAGGTCTCCGTCGATTTCTTCCTTTTCTAAAAACTGATATCTTTGCCTCATTAAAGCCATTTGCTTTCACTGTGCAACGTTGCTGCTAACGAGTAATGAGAACGACACGATGTTATCTCGCAGGTGGCACTGTACAGCGGGTCCATTATGCGACAGGGCAATCCATCACCTTGGTCGGTGACGCCGTATTTCGGTAAGGCGATCACTCAGGACATGACTTTCTTCCAGAGAGTCCTGAACGCGGCGGCTCTGCTCACTCTAAAGATTATGCATTGGTTCACGGTCTCGATTTATCTTCAGCCAACGCTCCAGAGATACCTCGGTGAGCATTAAATTCGCACCATTGTGCCCCCGTTGATTCATTGAATCATATATCGATGCTGCCAATTGTATGCTAATATCGTATATCTTTATTTATAATTAGATACTCATATAGCCCCAATGACCGTGTCGTATTTCGTTTTTTGACAGGCAATCATATACCCAACGATCTGCACAGCCTGACGGCGGAGGTTCCTCTGACTTTGCAGAACAGTCATTATAGCGTGGGCGATTCCTTGCCCTACTTGTCGAACGTTGTAAACGTGGCGTGCCTTCACTGCAGACCGGCGATGCAATTAAGCTCCGACTTAGAATCCTTTCTACGACGCGGTAATTTCCTAATTTCGCATTTCAACTTCATGAAATTTACATTATTCTCAACAGTCCCTGAACGTCTTGACACCCCGAAAACTTTCATATCTCGTAGCAAAACCGCCAGGTGATCAAAATAACATTTTATCTTATCGTTTAAAACCTGATCTGCAAGTGCTTTTTGTTTTCTGTTTGTTGCCTTTTTGTTATTTCTTACAGCTTGTCCTTTTGCCTTTTATCCCGTTTGTCATATTCCATCGTCCGAGATAGAAGTTAACGAACTTCGAAAGAAATGAAAACAAGGCAAGAAATACAACCGTCGATAAAACGATTACACGGAGGGGAAAAAAGTAAGAGATAAACAGCAAGAAACAAGAAATAAAGAGCTCCTTGTAAATCAGGCTTAATTGTAGCTAACATTTTTTTAGCTGAAATAAATTGTTCCAATTTATCGAATCTTGTTACATACATCAGTGATGAATTCGGTCATTCGCACTATACTAAATTAGTGCACACTGAAGGCTGTTTTTATATAAAATATCTAAATACAGTGAGACATGATATCTGTAATCGTTTAAAATATGTATATACTTTTATATTAGCTTTGCTAATTTCATGTATCGTAGCTTTTAGTATGCACTAAATGTAATGAAAGTGAATGAATTCATTATAAAAAAATGGATGTAGCTTTAACACCATGCGGTATTTATTAATTCTCACCATGCTGATGTTTATACAATCATTTGTGGTTGTCATGTGCGGTTTATACAACCCCAACTTTGTATAGATTTAAAATTCATGGTATTATAGCAACAATATGATGTCGATTTAAAGCCTATGATGTTAAATCCACGATCATATTTTTAGTGTATCTAACAAGATTCGATAAATTGGAAAAATTTATTTCAGCTATAAAGAAATGTAAGAATTATACGTAAGAATATTATATGTAAGAATTATACGTATAATCGCATGGTTAAAAATCCACATATTTTTTAAAGTATATAGGTTTATTTTGTAATAAACTGTTATCAGATATAACGGCTCTTCTTAACGTGAAAGTATCAGATATAAAATTCTATCTGAAGCATAACGATGGTTCTTCTACCGTTTCGTATAAGAACCATATCAAAAGGATTGACACCGTTATTTCGCAACGCATTGTTTTCCATTCTCGGAGGACTCGCTATTCAATTGGAGTAAACATCAGTGCAGTAAAAATCAGTCGGACCGAACGTGCCGCAATGTCGAACAAACTTTTACAGGTTTCGTGTTTGTCTCGATGGGATCATCGGTGCGGGCTTCTGGGATGCCGGAAGCGTTACGGCAGATCTTTGTCGCGGTATTCTCCACGCTACCGTACAATGTCGTGTGGAAGTGGGACGGTGGTAAGATCAAGGATCTGCCGGCGAATGTGAGGACGGCTGCCTGGTGGCCACAGCAGGAGCTGCTCGGCCATCCCAAGCTACGTGCCTTTGTTTCTCACGGCGGACTGCTATCTTTGCACGAAGCGGCTTACCACGGTGCACCGACTCTGGTCTTGCCAGTCTTCTGCGATCATGATGGAAATGCGGCGCAAGCTGGTAAATCCATTCGCTTTGTATCTGATGCACGTATCGATAGCTTTCTAGTCCGCTGAGCCCATGAATAATCGAAAATAATCGTCGAAGCTTTTGAAAAGCTTCGTTCTTCCAAACGAATGGTAGGAAATGTATATCTCTACCAATGTAGATAGATTAATTTTCATTTCGGTAACTTTAACTTTTTATTAGGTTTAACTTTTTCTTCTCTCGGTTTAACTTTTTCTTTTTCAATTTTAAAAATTAGAAAAAAATATATAAGGAGTAAATTAAATTGAGATTGAAGTTAATTTATATTGCGATAGAAATGGACCAAAGTCGAGTAAAATCAATTGATCGTCGGTTGAAAGAATGAGGGCTCTTTTACTAATTCTAATTAACTAATTAGCTAATCAATAGTTAACTCAATCGTCACGATTGCCAACATTAAAACTGAACAGTTTGTCAGAAAAGAAAGAGAGAGAAGTTCCGATTCATTGAATTGCTATTGGCATTTCTGTGAGTTGACTATCGATTAACTTAAATCAAAGATTGGTGAAAGAAGTCCTGAATAAGATGAAAAAATTATTTGAGCGTTTCTGGAAAACTATAATTTTAGGTGATAGATGAATTTTACACGCGAAGTAAAGAAAATTATTTTATATCATATGATTAATTATTGAATGCAAGATTGTTGTATTTTTGTGTGCTTATTTGATAGGTAAACTGGGTTACGCTTTGGTAATGGATCTGGCTGGTATATCCATTACTGCGCTTCGCGAAGGTATAATTAAAGTCGCCGCACTTCATAATAACTCGTACAGAGAGGCGG